TGCTATACATTACATGCTTTAATTAGATGTTCTTTTGTTTTTTATTTTCCAGATATTTGACTGTAAATTACATGGATGCTCACAGGACCTTATATTTCCTGTAAGTTCATGTTGTCTTACTCCTTCTGTCAACCTGTCCCCAAACTTGTCATATTTAACATTTTTATTTATTTTATTTTTTTTAGTTTGTCCCGAAAAACAAACCCATCTTGAAATTTATCATTTAAGATGATCTTAGGGCATGTTTGGTTCATGGATTCCAACGGAATCTAAAGGAATTGGAATCTCGAATTCCATTCCTGGAGATGGGTGCTAAGAATTGAATTCCGTACTTTTTTCCATTAAATGACTAAATTGTACTCACAAACACATCTTTTTTTACTTTCCGGTTTCTTGAATAAGTTTACAAACCAATCTGAATTCCATTCTGGGACATGTTTGGTTCATGGATTCCAACGGAATCCAAAGGAATTGGAATCTCGAATTCCATTCCAGGACGTGTTCAGTTGTCAAACCAACAAAGCCGAATCCCGAGAGATTCCTTCAAAATCCATGTTTGAGAGATTTCATCATTCTGGAGATGTGTGCTAACTGCTAAGAATTGAATTCCATACTTTTTTTTTTTCATTAAAAGACTAAATTGTCCTCATAAACACATTAAAACACAATCACATTCTTCCTTTTTCACATTCTGATTTCTTGAATAAATTTACAAACCAATTACCAATCCGAAATTAGCAAAAGAATGGTATTGAATTCCATCTCATTTCTTGCCAACCAAACACCTAACTGATTACAATACCTTTGGATTCCATTTCCTTCCACAAACATTAAACGGTTTCTAGATATCATTAATGACCATAATAACCCTAACATTCTATTCAGGCTGAAAAGCATTGTACTTCAAACCGTGTGGAAGAAGAGAAGGTGCCTTGTGGTCCCCATTGTTATCGCCAGGTAATCATCAATTTCATACTACATTAATGATTACTATTTACTACATATGCTCTTATACACTATATAACTTCAATCTTTAGGTCCAAAAGATGGAGGGCATTTCAGTCACATCACCTTCACAGCTCAATAGCGAACAAAAAGCCACTCCAAAATCTTCAGATGGCAACGGTGTTCATAAATCAAGAAAAAAGTCCAAAACTTGGTCTGTATTAGAGAAGTTAAAATCTTCCAGGAGTGAAAACACTTCATCAAATACTAAAAACATGACTGAAAGTAGCGAATCAGAAACTAGACCCACTGTTCATGATGGGCATTCTAGCTATCGTATGAGTAAACGTGGGACCCGTCAAAGGAATAGCAAACGCATTGCTGATCATGTTATGGTTGCAATAAAGAAAAGACAGAAAAAGCTCACTGCTTCTGATTCTGATTCCGTTTCTGTTCCTAGTGGAAGCCTTGGCTCACATAAAGAAAATGAAGAAGCGAGTTCGTCGTCTTTGAAGGTGAAGTCTTTGAGTGGGAGAAGGGGCAGGCGAAAAGACTCATTTGCCCCTGCTGGTGGTGATAGGTCGTCTTTTCAGGCGGAAGCTTCTGATTGCCCTTCCAAGGAGAAGGAGATCACCAGTGGCCATAATGAGAAATGGAAGAAAGAAGAGTTTGTGGATGAGAGTGTTGTGTGTAGACAAGAAGTAGAACAGATTGAATTCAAAAGCTGGAAAACAATTGAAAAGTCTCTTTTTGAAAAAGGGTTGGAGATTTTTGGCAGAAACAGGTTAGTAATAGCATGCTATGCTAGTACTTTCCACTTTTTCATTATATAATTAATAATAATATCCATCCATTTACATTATTAATTTATTATTGCAGCTGTTTAATAGCTAGGAATCTAATGAACAACATGAAGACATGTTCAGAGGTATTCTACGCAATGAATTCCTCAGAAAACAAGCTATCTTCTCAAGGGGGCGATGGCACATCTTCTCTAGGCGATGGATCCAGAATTGATTCTAATGAAAACATGGTCACACATCAAATCAAATATATATATATTATTATGATTACATTAATAATGAAAAAAATATTAATTTTCTTTTATTTAATTGAAATCAGGGTACGACGCTAAGAAGAAGATCAAGATTCTTACGCAGAAGAGGAAGAGTTCGTCGTTTAAAATATTCATGGAAATCTGCTGGATACCATTCAATGAGGAAAAGAATCTCGGATAAAAAAGAACTCCCTTGTCGCCAATATAACCCATGTGGTTGTCAAACTTCGTGTGGGAAAGAATGCTCTTGCCTTGTCAGCGGGACTTGCTGTGAAAAATACTGCGGGTACGTTATATATATGTAGTAACGTAACCCACTTTTTTATTTAACTTTATTTATATAAATCCTTTTTTATTAATTCTTTGATATGATGATATTATGAATAGATGTCCGAAAACATGCAAAAATCGTTTTAGAGGATGCCATTGTGCGAAAAGTCAATGTAGAAGTCGTCAATGCCCTTGCTTTGCTGCTGGTCGAGAATGTGATCCAGATGTGTGCAGAAACTGCTGGATCGGGTCAGTTTTTTCTACTCAATTAAAAGACTTGATTCTTTATTCATTTTGCTTACGTGGCAATACAAATACCAAATATAAAAACCCTAAATCAAGTTTAAACCTAAAAAGTAAAAACTCACTGGTAATCGCCAAATCCAAAAAAATTTGGGTTCTGCTTAATTTGATTTTGTAATTGTAGGTGTGGCGATGGGACTTTAGGGATTCCGGGACAAAGAGGTGATAATTATGAATGTAGAAATATGAAGCTTCTTCTCAAACAACAACAGCGGGTAATTCAATTACATCATCTTTCTTCTTATCAAACTTATTTATAGATTTATAGTTAGTTTGAACTTTGAAGCTTAGAAATGTGATTATTTGACATATATCCTTCAATTTAATTTACAGGTTTTATTAGGAAGGTCTGATGTCTCAGGCTGGGGAGCCTTTTTAAAGGTAAGCTGCATATATAATATATATCTTTATCTATTAGTTTTGTTGAAGCAACTAATAATAATAACAATGTTTATAACGAATTACTGGTGTACAGAATAGTGTACCTAAACATGAATATCTGGGTGAGTACACTGGAGAATTGATCTCACATCGTGAAGCTGACAAGCGTGGAAAGATTTACGATCGTGAAAATTCATCCTTCCTTTTTAACCTCAATGACCAGGTACTATAACTTTATTTATTTATATATATAAAAGTGATTTATTATTATTATTTTTTTCCATAAAGCAAACATAATAGTATATTTTACTTATGAAATGCAGTACGTTCTTGATGCTTATCGAAAGGGCGATAAATTGAAGTTCGCTAATCATTCCCCTGTTCCAAATTGTTACGCAAAGGTATATATTTATGATAAGTGCATTTTTGTGTTTTACAAATATGTGAAATCGAGAGCGAGAATTAATTGATTATTTTGGTTAGGTGATAATGGTGGCGGGAGATCATAGAGTTGGAATATTCGCTAAAGAAAGAATAAGTGGTGGGGAAGAACTGTTTTATGATTACCGATACGAACCGGATAGGGCACCTGCTTGGGCCAAAAAACCAGAGTCATCATCCGGTACAAAAAAAGAGGAAACCGGTCCTTCTAGTGGCCGTGCAAAGAAGCTTGCTTGAATCATCATCATCATCATCATATGCTTACTAATTTACTATCTCAAATGATTAACCGAATACTACACATAAGTAAGTATTTTTGGGAATTAATTCTTTACGGAGTTGATACTTGATAGGGTGGTAAAAAAAATTATTTTTTTGTGGTTCCCATCCCCGGTGAATTAGATCCGGATCCGAGATATAGGTGAATTTTAGTCGCTACAAAAGGGGGAAAAGTGTTGTAACTTGTAACTTGTAAGGGACACATGTCTTTTTGACCATCGTGTTGTGTTGTGTTGTGGAGGTGTTTGGTTTGGCTGGTTTTTAACTTTTAAAGAAACAAAACAGACGATTTACAAAAGACGTAATTTGGGTTATCTATCATATGCTTTCTTTCTTGTTCTTATTAGTTCTTACTTGCGCCTTAAAAAGCTAGCTAAAATAAAAAGAAGCGGGTTATACTTATATACTTAAATACAAAACTCAAAACTTGTTCAAACTGATAATCAAACTTATTTTTTTTTTTGAGAAATACTTCTTGGTGATGAAATTTCAAGGTGTTAAAATAAATCTTGAATACACAAATTTGAATTTATTGCATCCTTGTGATCCACATATGCAGATCTTATAGATTCCCTGAAATACATGTCATCCAACATGGTCTTTATGATCAAAACATCTATGTGACATTGACATGACATGGTGTCCATTTGTATTTTTGTTTAATTTTAATTTCTAAATTCTTAAAATTTAGGTTTTACCTAATATTTTATTTCAATGGTATTTTTTTTTTAATTTCAATTTTGTCAAATAGTCTTTTACCCTGATTCCCAATCTCTCAAGTTGATCCCACATATAACAAGATGATGATTTTTATAAAAATGATGGCATGTCTTCATAGTAAGCGATTTTACTTCCCGGGTATTGTCAACACAACATACACGTCACAAAACCAGTATTCGTATAGTTTAATTAAATAGTTGCAAAGGATTTGGAGTTTAATGAAGTATATGTTCAATGAGAAAAAAAAAAGTTTT